ATTTTATTTTATTTGTTTTTTTATTTTTTCCTACTTGCTTTGATTCAATGTTTTATCTTCCTGTATTTTAATCATGTAAAGCACTTTGCATTGTCTTTGTACTGAATTGTGCTATACAAATAAATTTGCCTTGCCTTGCCTTGCCTTGTAACACTCACCGGCGTTACAGTATTTATAGTTAAGCTGATAATATTTAAACATCAGTTGAACTCTTTTCCACTTTTTCACTTCAGCCACAGAAGCACATTTATTTTAGTTTGTTTTTAAAAAAAATATATTCAAAGTCATTATTTCTTCTGCTAGTTTCTCAGTTTGCAGTGAAAATGTTTGCAGACCAGCTGGTCAGAGGCCAAACTTTGCTCTCTGCTAAACTCATAGTGTTTGTAGAACCATCAGGTTCCTTCAATCGCCTTGATTTCATAAACAGTCCTGATGCTCTTTTGGAGCAGAGCAATTAATAATTCTTATTCCCCTCTTTTTTACAATGAATAAAGACATCAAAGCTTTATTTTAATGATTTTTAATGATTGCCTATTTTTACTAAAGCATGATTGTAGATGCATAATTTCTTGCTCAACAGATTTCATGTTGATATCAAATTCTGACAGAAGAAAATTAGTATCATCTGCAAAGAGAACGAATCACAGTGTCTGTGATACATCACAGTTAATACAAAGTTTATTCCCACACTGAGCCATGAGGGACTTCATCTAAAATTACTGGAAATACTTCATTTAGTGTCATGGTGACTCACATATTCGGTGTATTGCTGTCTAGTCTCTAAATATCTACTGACCCTGTTTAGCTCTAAACCTCTTATTCTATATATTTGCTGCATTTGGGAGAATCAAAAGCCTTTTTCAATTGGATAAAAACTCCAACGGTATGAGTTTTATTTTGTCATGTTTGAAAAGAACAGCCCTTTTAACGAGCAAGTCATGTTTTTTCCCAGAACATTACAATACAACTGCAGTACTCAGAAGACACAGCAGATGGCAGCATAACAGCCTCTCCAAACTTAGAGCAAAGATATAGGCCTGTAATTATTAAGACTGAGCTTAATACCTGATTTAAAAAGATATATAATCTTTTTATTTATTCAGGAAAGGGACGCTGTTATTGATCTCACCAAGATAACGGGTTTGCAGCACTTTATTTTTACCTTTCCAACTATCATTAATATGTGAGGGAATAGATTCGGACCAATATTAACAAAAACTTGAAGTAATCTCTACATTATGCTCATTAATCAAGAAGGATGTTTGACTAGGAATTACTGTCGATAACATCTCTGAACACCTTCAACATTCCTTTAATATAGTTTTTTCTTTCCAATATCAAATTTGTGTAACAATCTTTATTTGCATGTCTGGTTATTTTTGTAGGCCTTGTATCATTTTTCAATATTTTCTGACTGACATTTTATATTAAATTTTAGTCTTGTTTCAATTAAGTTTATTTATATGTTGCTGATTCAAAGCTTGTCATCTCAAGGCCCTTTATAGAGACAATTCAACCAGATCATCCAGTCAGATTGGTTCAAAGATTTCTATCTAAGGAAAACCAGTTGATTGCATCGACTCATTGACTCTTCAGCAATCCCTCACACCAAGCATGCAAAAGACAACTGTGAACCAGCTCCACNCAGCCAAACAGGAACAGACGAGGCAAAGCTACTCTGAGGAAAAGCAGAGAGAGCAGAAGGTTAGAGATTGAACTAACAGATTCTGCAGAATAGGAGAACAGAGAGAGAATGAAGCAGAATGATGAAATGGGGGTCCCTATGTCCTCCAGCAGTCTAAGCCTATAGCAGCATAACTATAGGGATAGCTCAGGAAATTTCTCCTCTGAGAAATTACTTCTCAGAGGAGAAGTAGCCTGTGAAGGCTGTTGTATTCTTTACTAGAAAGGCTTCAATCCATTTTGAAAACATGTCAATTATCACCAAACAATATTTCTTTACTTCACATGAAGTTAGTTCAGTAAAATCTATCATAAGATTTTGAAATGGGGCATCAACTGTTTTGTGGGCTCCCTGGCCCATGATTTTCTGTCCTCTAGAAATGTTGTGACTTGCACAAATTAGGCAATTTTCACAAAACGTTGTTGCTGTTTGAGAAAAATTAACATCCATCTTCTTCCTCTTATCCAGAGTCGGGTCACGGGGGTAGCAGCTTCAGTAGGGGGGTCCAGACATCCTTCTTTAACCCTACTTGGGCCAGCTCTCCCAAGGCGCTCCCAGGCCAGCCGAGAAACATAGTCCCTCAAGCGTGTCCTGGGTCTCCTCCTGGGCCTCCTACCTGTGGGATGTGCCTGGAACACCTCACCAGGGAGATTTCCAGGAGGTATCCGAACCAGATGCCTGAGCCACCTCAACTGGCTCCTCTCGCAGCAGCTCTATTCTAGGTGCTCCCCGGATGACTGAGCTCCTCCCCCTATCTCTAAAAGCCCAGACACACTACGGAGAAAACTCATTTCAGCCGCTTGTATCCAGGATCTCATTCTTCCGGTCATGACCCAAAGCTCATGACCATAGATGANAAGGTACAATCAGTAATCTTCAGGAAATCAAGCTCCAGCTTGCAACGCTAACTGAACTGTCTCTCACGCAGACTCCGGTGAACCAGTGTCCAGGCCCGAACCAGAACCAGTACATTCTGTGTGCTTGTGCTAAAATAAACTTGTTGAACTTTTATCCCTGTGTCCGTCAGTGGTGTTCTGCATACTTGGGTTGCTATTAGTGAACCCATCATGACACATGGTATGAAAATGGTTGTTGACAAATTAAATAATACACACTTGGATAGCTGTTTTTGCAGTATGGCAATATGTACAAGAAGAGTTTGAAGGTCAAATTACTCACAGGAGGTTGTTCTTTAAACCAGAAAAGCAGTATGAGTAGCATGAACCTCAGGAAAATCCAGCACATTATAGCAGTTTTTAGCCACTGTGGTATCTGCAGGTATGTTTCAGGAATGGTTCTTAATGCTGTCTCAGGTAGGATCGCTCCTACTTAGAAGGTCAATATAGGTGGCAGCTAAGGTGCGGAATGAAGGTTCCTAATGGAAGTGTTTGATGTAGCTCTTCTGTTGAACTATGTTCATCTGCTTCGTTAGCCTGGTGTGTTCTGTAAAAGTAAAAAAACCCCACTGGACTTGGTTTCCAGGATTTGAAGACGTTTCTCCACCTCTCCAGGAAGCTTTCTCAATTCAAATGTCTGGTGTGTTACTCAGCCAGTGAACTTCTTGCAGTGGGATGCATGGACCCAAGTGGCTATCTCGGGCAACCTTTACTACTGTGTGGGTGATCAGCAACACCTGGAATGGACCCATCCAACTGCAGGATTTCCAATCTCCCTCCTGAAATTTGTAATAAAGACAAAATCCATGGTTTTAAATCATGCAATGGTTTAGTAGCTGGTGCAGGGAGACCTCCCTGTGTCTGCTACCTCACAGCCTTCAGCTGGGCTGTAAGAGAAATGCAGTAAATAAAAATGTTATCATCACAAGAGAAGGTAGGGGAGAATGGTGCTGCTGGAGGCCCAGATCCCATATTTGGTGGACCTGCAAACAGCTTGAATGGACCTCTGCGGCCCCCATTTTCAGCCAAGGCCTCCAAAGCATTCACAGGAACTCCCACATAGGTGTAACTTGCCAGCCCCCGTCTCTGTGAGGACAGGACAAAACCACAGAGAAAACTTGATTCTTGCTCTTTGCCTTCTGCTCTCTTTGCCTCCTCTCCCTTTTCCATGAAGCTGGGGTCAATCTCTGGCAAGATGGAGATCCTGCCGAAGCAGAAAGACCCAGATCTCAGGAATCCTCAAGGATAGGTTAGAACCTTTCAGAACCAAACGTCTGCAAAGCAGACCTTTGCAACACATTTCTCTTGAGTTTCAGAACTTATAGAGCCAGACTAGATGAGAACCATGCCCTGGGTGTGAGACTGAGACAAAGAGGACCCTTGCTGTGAGCCTGGAAACCCTTGTCTTGCTGCCCTGACTGATGAGCTGCAGCTGGATGAAACTCAAGCTTTCCAAATGGAAATTGAAAAAAAAGGTTTGCAGGTCTGGCATAATTAGGGACAGAACAAACGATATGTCTCTTAATGATGTTGATCTGATGCTATACAGAAACATGTTGAGCTGTGGCTGAAGCTTAGACAAGCTTTATTCACTAAGGATTTAAACACTGATATAACATTAGTGTTCATGTGTTCCTCAGATGCTCATTACATTTCCATTA